TGCGCTGGATCGATGGTGCTGGTGAGCTGCACTGATCGACGGTGCTGGTAAGCTGCGCTGGATCAATGGTGCTGGTGAACTGCACTGATCGAAGGTGCTGGTAAGCTGCGCTGGATAGATGGTGCTGTGAGCTGCACTGATCGACGGTGCTGGTAAGCTGCGCTGGATCGATGGTGCTGGTGAGCTGGAGCTCGGTTTAAGAGGTTTAGTCTGTTGAATTTTTGTTGTAGTGATTGTTTTCTGTGTACTGTTCTTGTTCTTGGTGGTTGTGGCGGAGCTGCTGCTGGTAGTAGGTGGTGAGAGTGGTGGTGATGACGATGGTGGTGATAATGGTCATGATGCTGACTGTCGTGTCCATTAGTTATAGTGTTGATGGCTGTAGGGGTGGTGATGGTGATGGACGTAGTGGTGGTGGTGGTGGTGGTGGTGGTGGTGGTGGTGTTGATGGTGATTTTGATAGTGGTGTTTATAAGGATGATGGTAGTGGTGATGGTTTGGTGGTTATGAATGTGATAGTGGTATTAGTGATATTAGTGGTATTTGTGGTGGTCCTGATGATGGTGGTGGTAGTACTGGTGGTAATGATGGTTCTGTGGTTGTGGTGATAGTAGTGGTGGTGATTGTGGTGGTGGTGATGGTGGTGGTGGTGGTAGTGATGGTGGTAGTGGTGATGGTGGTAGTAGTGGTGATGGTAGTAGTGGTGGTGGTGGTGGTGGTGGTATAGTGATAGTGGTGGCAGTAGTGGTGGTGGTGGTGATAGCAGCAGTGGTGGTAGCAGTGATTGTAGTGGTAGTAGTGGTGGTGGTGATAGTGGTGGTGGTAATGGTGGTGGTGGTGGTGATGGTAGTAGTCGTAGTGGTGGTGGTGGTGGTAGTAGTGGTGGCGGTGGTGATAGCAGCAGTGGTGGTAGCGGGGGTTGTAGTGGTAGTAGTGGTGGTGGTGGTGATAGTGGTGGTGGTAATGGTGGTGATGGTGGTAGTGGTGGTGGTGGTAGCAGTGGTGATGGTGGTAGTGGTAGTGGTGGTGGTAGCAGTGGTGGTAGTAGTGATAATCATGGTGGCGCAGGTTAGGGCTGCTCATACATATTCAGAGAGGTGGGAGAGAGGAGTGAGGGTCTTATCAGTAGTCTAATTATTAAGGACAGTTCCAGTAAAGTAAAAAGTTCAGTACCCTAAGGCACGGTCCTAGCACTGTTTCTCATCCTCGTGGCACATGTAGACAAGAACACTAACCACCACACCTTCCTATCGTCCCTTCCTGACGATACCAAAGTAACTGGCCCAAGACTTTTCAGCATATTTACGGTAGATATTAGAAACATTGCCGGTATGATGCTATAAGGCCTCGAGAAACTGGACAGCAGGGCTGTAATGGCTTTGTGGGCCAGCACGTTGCTAGCACAAACAGGCTGGTTGATCAGGCAGTCAGAAGGGAAACCTGGCATCGGCTGGGCCTGTGGGGATAGAAGAACCCTCAAAACCGGTGTGATACATGACTATACACTAAGTTTACCTCAGCATACAACTAGCACACTTGGTGTCAACGGCCGATTGCATCCTACATTAAACCTGCTGCAAACTGCCCTTACAACCATGTTAACTAACTTAGATAACCAAAACATGTTACACTGCAGCATATGAATCGAGCGGTTATCTACACACGAATGATTTTAGTTGAATTAACATTGAGTTCTCATACTTGTGCATGGTTTATGGTGAGGTGATGCTCGCTTGAGGCTCATCCACAACACCTTCCCCAGCATCACACCATCATCCGAGGTGTGCGAGACACATGTTGGCATATAATCGAAGTTGCCACCCATGTTCTCTCTAACTATTTTTGTTCTGTCTACCAGTTTAGTTCCCAAAGCTAATAAATCGTATTTTATTTGTAGTTTGTTATTCAAAATTTATTTCTGAACACATATTGTTAAGGTATTAATGTTCTCCAAAATTAATTACTACCATTTTTATTTATTTTTTTATTAACTTTGATAGGTTATAATTAGAGTTTAGATATGTGAATTTGATGAAGATTCTGAATAGTTTTTTTAATTGAATTCCTCTAATTAACGTAATTAATTGGTTCTTCTTCATTGAATTCTTTTAATTAACGTAATTAATTGGTTCTTTTTTTATCGAAGGCCTCTAATTATCGTATTCAATTGGCCCTAAACTCAGGAACTGATCACAGGTAAAGCACTGAAAAACACACTGAA